CATACAATAGCCCTTACTTTTGCCACCATTCAACCAGCACCAAGGGAAATCACCAACAGAAAGTGGCACATTTCATCTGATAGCGATAGTCAGCTCTGCAGCACCCAGGAACCAAGAATCTGCTGGCAGAACAGGCTCCTAGGTGCAATGTTAAGTGTCTGCGGGGTGTTCAAGTCTTTGTACTTTGAACAAGAGACAGTAATTTACAGTTGTCTACCCCAAAAAAATGGCATTTATTGTTTTCAGGACCATGCAGCCTAATCTTTGGTTATTAAATAAGGAGACACTTCAAAATTCTGGAAGAGGGCCAAGCCTGAAGTAGAACAAGGGTTGCTGAAAATGATATACATGAACTAGAAATTGGGAATTAAATAACGCAGTACAAGGCATCAGTTCATAATTTAATCATGTGCACGGTCAATCTGCAATCTTGGAGGAGAAAACTAAAAAAAAAAAAAAAAAAAAAAAAAAAAAGGAAGTTTAAAAATTCATGGCAAAAAAACATAGCAAGCATTACTGCAGTGAACAGTTTTGAGATTAACTCAAATTATCTGTTTTAATACTTAAAACACTGCTGCAGAGCAAACTATTAATAACTGGAAGAAACAAGACTAGCCTACAGTTTTAAAAGGAGAATCCATCCATGAAGCCTGGGAACAACCCTATCATCCTGATCAAGTCAAAAAACAATACTTACCAATAACCAGTGTGTGATATATGTGGTCTACATGTACATTCTAACAGCATAGCTGTGCCCTGCCAAGTGATACTGCAAGGTTTTCCTCTTGCAGTATCTGTAGAGTGTATACTCTTGCTTCTCTTCTTTTTCTGCTTCGTGTGTGATATACAAGAGAGTGCATCTACCACCATTTCAGTCTGTCTCAACAGCATCGCATCTGAAAAAGAATTAGAGAGAAGGGAAAGGCAGATGGGACAGGAATGTACATGTGGACTACACTTCACGAAGAACAGTAATTCCTGGCAAGAAAGCTTTCTTCAAATGAGTCCACATGTACATTCCTACAGATGGTGACTCTCAGCTGTTACCCTGCCATGAAATTCTGGCAGGGGATCAGAATCCTATCGTGCAAATAAATGACTGCACCAATGCCCTATACCAAAGGCTGGATAAGCTCTGGATGTTTCAAGAACTGCACTCTGAATGCAAAAAGAACGTCAGACACCTGCACGGCAGATGACTGGAACAGAAATACCAGGCTGTGCTACTATCAGAAGTGTGTGTTAGAAAGTGCTCTCCTGCTTTACTTTCATGTTTTCAGGGTGGAGCAGTACGCAAACGATAATCCATTTGGATTGTCACTACATGCCAGAAGAGGAGCTGCATCATCTTCTCGTAATGAAGAAGCCTTCCAAAACAGCCTGGTCAATGAGAATAAAATCAAGAGGATGTTCCTGGTATTGGAAGTGTAAGTCACAATTTGCTCTAGAAGCACAAAGCCTTAGGAAAAAAGTACCTGAAGGCTAGGAGAATCCAGCATTTGTTCCAGAGAAACTGACTTTTTGTAGAAAACGACATGTGGGGATGTATATTGCACGGGCCTGAATCTTACTCCCTCAGGAGAAGCACTAGGTGTAAATAAATAATAATACTAAAGACAGCTTTCAAGGAGAAGAATGAATCTTGATTCAAAAGGAGGCACAATGTAGATTCTAGACACAAAGGAAATTCACAACAAGTATCCAGAGCACAAGACTTAAATAGGAAGAAAACATCACAGCTGTACATATTGCCACAGATCCCCAAGAGAAGTGGTTTTGCGGGGCAAGACAGTTGTGCCATCATGTAGTAGACTAACGCTGAGTGGAACACACAAAACTGTGATTTGCTACAATAAATCATGCAGAATAAGTGGAAATGAAATGTTGCTTCTTCACATTCACAAAAAAAGCTAGGGAGACTGAAAGTGTCACAAAATAGTCCCATGACAATAACTTGCACAAATCAGACACTGAAATGAAGGAATAAGATTTCTTTGGAATGAAGAAGCATCATGATAGCTACTAGAATCTGGGAAAAATATTTGTAGAGCCATAGACAGAGCAAACAGTGACATCCAAGACATCCACAAACTTGAGATATTAATTAGGCATTCTGTGGTTTGAGAGATGCAACTGTTCTCCCAGAGATTCTGGGAAGGTGTTGAAGAAAGCTAACAACCAGAACTTGAAACTGTAGATGCAGTAGATGTTCATCTTGCAGAAGCTTAAGGCATTGACTGAAACCTTTCCGCTTTGGTGTAAGAAAGTAATTGCTACAACAATCTCTCCATTAGCCTGAACCATCCCAGGATATCCCTGCAAAGGGGAGTGAGATCTTCTAGACAGGAGAGGGTTGGCCTCGTGTCAAGGTAAGAATGTGAAAATAGCTGCAAAGAAGACTGAACTGAGCACCCTGAGCATTCCCATTCAGGTTCAAACAAAAGGTATAACATGTTTCCAGGACAGCAGATGACACACTAACCACATCCCAGCTGTTGGGGAAGTTGGAGGCACAAAACAGGCAAGGGAATACAGTTTTAGTACTTTCACTAGCACCTTTACCAATCAGAAAAAAAGATCTGATGATTGTGGTGAGCCAAATATTGCTCTTAGCAAGGCTGGTTTCCAGACGGGAACTCCCTAGGCAGGGAGTACAGAATAGTCTGAGGTGGCCAACATGTGAGACAGAACATTTTCCCTCCAGGAGCTGTAGAGAAGATCCCAGGGAAATGCCTACTAGATTCTCTTGCAGATGAAGAGAAGAGATAACACGGGAACATTTCTGTGTGGATACTTGCACTTCCTTGGTGACCCTTGTGACTGGCATTAGCAGTAGGTAATGACAGTGAACAGCCAAGGCAACTGAAGAGGATGGGGCATCAAGAGTGGTCTATAGCTTACACAGCAGTGACATAAAACTTCATGTATTATAGTCTAGTAGATCCACATCATCTCAGAACAAATAGCAAGATCTGAAGAAAACAAGGGCAAAAACAGACACTTAAGCCATAATCTTTTAGCCAGATGATTCCCAAATAAACTACAACTGGGAACTTCAAGGGTACTAAGATCAGAACCATTTGATTTGGCTGAACAAGCCTCAGCATGACTACCAGCTCTGGGCTGGAAGATGACTTTCACAGCACACTTCAATGACAACAAAAAATAATCAGGAATATGAGCTCCTGTGTCATAAGATGTTTGAGTGACTAAGGCATGAAAGCTGTCCTCAAGGCTTTAAAAACACATTCATCCAGGGTGCCATAAGATTCAAATTAGGCCTTCAGTGAAAGCCCTGCAATCAAACGGGAAAATTGAAGGTGATTTTTTAAAAAATAAAAAGGAAACAGGCAAAAAAATCATCAAGCAAAGGAATGGAAATGGTGGTGAATATGTTCTCTCCTGTATGCCAAACACCAAGTGAGAAGAGGCAGAGCGCATCATCCATGAATACTCTGAAGAAAAAAGTTTAAATCTTATAAAGCAAAAGTATATACACGGTTAGAATGCACATGCAGACTCATGTGAAAAGCCATTAATTTCCTTAGTTTCTTTGGCACACATCTATAAACAATTGGTAGCTTTTCTACTTTCTTCTTCATCTGAAAGCTTCTTCCTCTTGCCCTTTATTTATTTATTTATTTAAAGACACATTCACAGTGAATAAAGTACTTAGATTGTCCTCTAGAAAGAACTTTCCAACTTAAGGAATGTACAGACACATTGCTGTTCATACGTATGTAAAATTCCCATCCTCAGGGATGGAATTTTATTGTTTTGTCATATTGAAGCTAACCTGTCCTACATAACAATCTTTTGATGAATACAAGAGTTTAAAACAGTTAATTCATTAAGTTGTCCAACTCTGTCTTAATTTACAAGCATTTTTGCCACTTTGTACTATGCGCTAAATAGTGACAGCCACCAAAGACAAGTTACATCACTTGGAAACACTAGATGGATACTGGTGACTTCTCTCTGACATGTCACTCCTTTGTGTATACTAACAAAAAAAGCCATGTTGATACTGTCAATTGTCTGTAAAAAGCATCCTGAAAGACATGTGACAGAAGGGTCCTGACAGTGCTCCATATCATGCAACAACAGAAAATTAGTTTTTTTGTCAAAGCTTCCAACAAACCACCCAACTGTGCATTTTACAAAGGCAGGGAGACGGTTAGCCTTTGCAACCTGCATGGAAGAGGAAGGTGAAATTACTTACCCACAAGCACGTAGATAATTCTTCCAACATGCTAAGGCAGACCCGAATCTGCTTACTGAGCAAATGCACTACAGGGGATTAACCACGTGAGCTTACAGCTGTAATGCTTGGATAGGAAGAGGAGCCTCAGGTGCGACATTACTACAAGGCTGCTTTGTGCCTTAGTGTAGTCAAGCCCTCCTCACCCAAAGAGCACACAGCAAGGATCTAGAAGGATTCTAGAAGGATCCTAGAAAGATCTTCATGTAACTAAATGACTCAAGGATTTTAACTAATGAAAGACTACATGTCAGGGAGTAAAGCTAAGTCTTGGAACGTAGGAGGGCTAAGTGATAAAAGTAAGAAAGCAGCAATAAAGAGTATCCCCCACACCACAAACAACAGAAAAATCAATAAACTGGTGCCAGATATTGAATGATCTCAACTAAAAGATAGCTCTCATTCACATTGTGATGGTTGAGAGGAACAGAGGTGTCCTCTTGGCCTACGCACATTTCTATGTTATAGAAGCAGTCTTAGATCACTACTGCAGATACTGCTGAAGAGCTTTCAGAGCTCCAAGCACTTGTGGCTTGGAGAACAAACAGATGAACTATAACACAAAGAAGTAACTGCTGGGTGAGACAAAATCTCCCAGGTACATGGTATGTCTAACTAAGTCTTTTCTTCTCCTCTCATAAAAGTTTTGTTCTGCTTTATTTGCTATTATATAACTGTATATCCGTTAACACTAATGCTAATTAAGGAACAAATAAACACTGCAAACCAGACGAGCAACTGCCCATACCAAAACCTATAGTCAGGTTCACATTTATTGTAGGTTAATATTCCACAGCAAGTTTTTTTAATAAACTATTTGAAAGAATACTTAAACTTTTTGTGTTTAGGTGATATGTCACAACATAAGGCATACTGTGCTAAAGGTATTTAACATTTGACAGTTTTGTTTATTGGATCAGCATAAGTATTAAATCAAGATAAATTATGTGGAGTACAATTAAAGGTACATGAAATGTTTTCCTACCTCCAGGCATAATTTGACCAACATCCTGTACAGTTAGGACTGACAACTTCTCTTCTGTATCCACTCTTATCACACTGAAACTCAAACAATTCATAGACAACACTGCTTTTCCCGGAGGGGGCCCACCCAATTCTGGAGGTCTGAAAAACAAGTCAAATCAGATTTGAATCAACAGATCAATGGTAATACAAGCCATCAAAAACACAGTGCAAATCTGTCTGGCCTGTTATTAAGGTTAATAGAATTAATGTTTTTAGTGGCATGCAAGCAAATTTTGCCAGGATCTGGCTGGAAATATATTCTATTAATGAAAAAAAAATGCTAGCTGTAAAATATGCTAGCTATGTGAGAAACCTCACATAGCTAACTCAGCCTAGAAAACTCTAGAAAGTTACAGAGATAATTTAGTTCTGTTATGGGCAACCAAATGTCAAGAGCAAGCACTCAAAAGCTAACTTTTCTGAACACCAGGAAAATAAGGAAGTATCTCAAGGATTTTAGATTTCTATATTTCTAAAGAGAATTGACTATTTTCTGGTAACTCTCCAGCTTCCAGGCTGGAACAGAACAAAACAGCCCAAATATTTTTGTAAATCACTGCTCTCCAAATGCATTGTCTAAGTGAGAAAGGTCAGTTCTCCCACCAGAGGAAGCATTCTGCAATATCTCAAACCTTTTTGTTTCAAGTTTTCTAGAAACTTGATTTTCTGAACGGTACATCTGGATTTAAGACGCTGTCAAAACGCTCCAGCATTCTTCATCCATACGTTAGCTTTATAATCAAAGTATTTCCTTTTTTCCCCTCAGAGCATTCTTTACAATCTCTTGAACTCCCATGGTATTTTTCAGAGCAGTTACAAAAATGTTTTTCCCTTTAGCCTCAAGTTAGAAGACATTGTGTATAAAGGACTTTCTTGAATTGCCAATAAGAAAAAAAAGAAAGAAAAGAAACTGTTAAGGGGGAAAAAAAAAAAAAAGGTTTCTTTTGTTTTTCTATATACACATCCTTTATTGAAGGTCCTATCTATAAACCTCAGGTTTTCTCTTGTCTGATTCTTAGAGCATCTTTATGCTGTACTCTGTTTTGACTATCATCTTAACAGCACATTCAGTTCAATAATGATAAAGAAAAACTTATAGTTCCTTCCTGCAAGACAGAATTAATTACCTTCGAATAGCGACAGTTAGAGCCTCTGAAGAACTAGCACAGGGACAGATTACTTCTGGTCTCAAACCTCTAGACTGAAATACATTGAGGAATGCATCACATGAAGATATAGACCCTGTAAAGAACAATCATACAATTGGAAACACTTTGTCAAGGGCAGGGAAATTTGATCTACAGCATTTCAAAGTCTATGTTTACTCTCAGTTCAGTGGTACAAATAGGACTGCAATCTTGCAAAAAAACAACATACTTTCAAAATGCCTAAAGGACATCCCAAGGCTATTAGTAGATGCTGCTTTTGGAGATGAAATAGTGGTTAACAGCCAATTCACAGAATGAAAACCACAACTGCCTACACTCCGATGGCATTCAGCAACACTTAACATTATTGAAAATCCTTCAGTGATCTAGTGAATATTCCGTCACTAAGAGCAACTGCATCTGAGAAAAGGCTTTAAATGTTTGTCTACAGAGAGCACAAAACCAAATAACTTAAAATAATCATTAAATGCCGCTGAAAAAAACAAAATCTTCACTTGCATTCAGAACTCTGTATTTCCTTTAGCAGTCAGGCCAAAATCTAAATGGATACCTGATTGCTTATGCTTTGTGTTTTACAAGGTCACAATCATAGTATATAAAAATAATGCAGAACAGTAAACTTCAATAGTCATCCTATATCCTGTGTATTTTGTGTTGCTTCCTATAACATGGTACAGCACTACTGAAAAGCTGAAATGAAAAATGCGCTTACACTGCTACACACAGCTAAGAAATGCAAACAGCAATGAAAAGACAGTAAACATTAATAGTACACAAGCAGTATTTTACTGCACAAGGGATGGCTTTCTATGTTTACAAGCAACAATCTTAGCACGACCAGTTAAAGTTTTCATCTTTACTGTCATCCTGGACAGAGAGAGCTACCATGAATCCAGAAAATACCCCCATACTCACATGGATTGGCTCCATCTGCTACTATTAACATTCGTAAAGAGCTCAGACTGACATCTCTTTGATCCCTCTGAGCTAAAAGTGACCAATGCATATCTCGGGATTTTACTACTGCTACACGGGCTAAAAAGAGAAAAAAGAGAAAACAATTATATTGTGCATGCATGCAGAACAAAATAAAGAATTCTATAAATATGCTCATGCCTGTATTTAAAGGTATGAAACAAATCGCAAAAGTAGAATACAAGGAGATGCCAAGTGTCTCTCTGCTTTGAGACATCAATACTCAATGTCTCCAGACAGACTTGATTTTAGCATTTATAAAGCTATAAATTGAAATACTGAGATGAAAACACACTTGTCCTTAAAGGTCTATCAAAGAAGCCAACACAAAGATCGATTCTGTTTGTCACTTATCAATGAGCAAATCAATACATCTAACACTGAAAGGGAGCATCTGATTCTGAAAGCCAAGGCATCACCCTACGCTGCTGGATAAGAGCAGTGGCTTATATTTGAGCATACTTTTACACAAGCACATTTTCCTTTGATTTAGTTTTACCTCCTGTTTCATCTGGGAAGAGATGGGTTAAGAAAGAATATTAAGGTTACCTTTGTATGAGCAGACTTTCTGTATCCATGAAAGTGGATTAACCTTCATTAATGCATAGGGAATACTGATGACATGCATTCTGTTCATAACGCTCTATGGGAAAAAATATTCAAAAATAAACTCGGAAGTGTCTCAAAGAATAAAAAAAGGACCTATATCTTTAAAAAACACACAAATGTAGCATTAACTGCTAGTGAAAATTACATGTATAATCAACAAAATCTTAAGCTATATCCATGTAGTCTATTACCAAAAACAGCATATTATGCTGAAATATATAAATAGTTGGTGACTGATACATTTTAGGACCTCATTCTGAAACCAGTGCTCTCCCCCAAAAAGAGACACCTTTCCCTGCAAACTGCTTTGTTTATTTATTCAAATACTCACTGTTAGCACTCCATGCCAAAGGCCAGCATCTCTTTTGAAATCGAGGACATTTGTTAGTGTTTCAGCTGAAAACAGAAAAAAAAAATGCAGTTTAACTAGAACAGTTTATAACCCATGATGCTTGTTGAAGTTACAATACTTGTAAGACTATTAAGAAATCAAAGCTACATTGCCAAGCTATGTTGTCTATAACCATAGGCTGCTTAGGCTCAAAGTGTCTTACATTACTTATTGCAGTCTTGATTAAATTATGATTAGAGATTAGACTATCACACGGTATTTAAAACCAATTTTTCATTATGATATTATTTTTGGGTGCTTGTTACCTTACTTAATTATGTAGACCAAAATTTCTTTTGATGACAGGTGATAAAGTTTTCCACTAACAAAAACACTTCAGCTACATATGAAAGAAATGTGTTTGAGAGAAATATTTCTATAACTGCATTAAGGTTTCTTTAATGCTTTCTATGAGTAACTTGACTTGGTTTAAAGCACAGAATCTAAGCTCTGCATTAGATTTAGCCTGAAAAACCCTTGCTTATCACTAAGACAGAATGGCTGAAGGTAAAGGATTTTTTTTTTTTTTTGAGGGGGGTGGGTCTTTTAAGTTTTGAGAAAGTATGCGGCTATTTTCCAATAAATAAAATACTTCAGTGAGACACATATCCACTCATTTTCCAGTAGATACAGAAATGCACATCTTTCCACATCCTCAATTATTTCCCACCTTCTGGAATAATATATTACACATAACTGCACTGGCTGGAGAAAATAGCCCACAGTTTCACATCTTTAGATGCGACTCCACGTGTCCCAAGAGAGATTAGCTGACTCCACCACATTATGTGTCTTGAACCATGAAGTTCTTCCAGGCAGTAAGCAGATTTTGAAGGGAAGAAGCTTTTGATTAAGGGCAGCACAGATGAACCCAAGGACAAGTTCAATGCCAGATGAAACTCTTGGTTATTCACTAAGGAAACCATTAACACTGAGTACACCTATCACTTGCTTCAGGGCCTCATGGAGACATTCTTTTATGGGCCATGATTAATCAAAAAGGAGACTCCTTTCCTTCTGAATACAGGACCAACTGAGGGAAAAAAATCTTGAAGCTACAAGGAACTAGGAACAAACTAAAGGGTAAATCTTTATACCGAGTACAGTCTATACAGAATAGAAATCTTACATCATCTGCAGGATGCAGCAGCAGAAACATGAAAAATAAACATCTTGTGGGATGACAAGAAAATTCAGTCTCCTTGGTGAGGCGCTGAAATATTGATGGCTAGGATCTGTACTTTGCATTTTTTAGAAAGTTAAACTGCTTAGCCTCCTCCAGTCCAGAATTAATTGGCATGGTTCCTTCAGGAATCACCAACATTGTAAATCCTTTACCCTCAAGATGAATGTGCAATCTCATCTCTGACATTTCTTGTAGTGGGTAGTTGTCAGGAAAAGGTGTCTTAAAAGGGCAATGGAAAAGATCGGCTTTTTTGATTCTAATTCTAAAAACAATACAGATATCCTACTGTGACAACCTCTCATTCCCTCTTGCGTCATTTCTGTGCAATTTGTAGAGCCATGGGGTTATCCAATTGCCCAAAGCAGGAAGGAAAGAAATGACTGAAAGAAGGCGGTTAACAACAGCTGCTCACATCTTCAAATGTGCTACCCAGAATCACAGACTAGCTCAAGTTTTTAGGCTGGTGGACTTGCACTAGTTGAACTGACAGCTTTTGAGCTTCAGGGAGGCAGAGTCATTACAGATGGAGCTAGAACTAAGCCAAGCAAGACAAGACATTTGTATATAATCCTCAGGCTCTCTTGATCAAGACTTTCTTTCTCAGGGATCAAATATCACACTCATAAGAATCACAGAGTGGAACAGTTATAAGGGCTTTGAAAGATATTACATCTCATTGACTTCCAAGTTGAGACTTGAAAGGCAAGGTCAGTAACTGCAACTTCCTGAGAGACCAGAGCTGTGTATCTGGCAGCCAGCCTGCCTGCACAGCATGTCTGCCTGCAGCTCCAGATGATCGGGGTGCTTCACTGGCAGCATCCCGTGCTGTCGAAGGAGATCCAAACTACCCAAATGGCCTCCAGGATCAGGAGAAAGCTTCCTCAGTTTCTGCTGGGAGGACTCCTCTAACTCCTCAGGTGATCATCTCATACTTGACTATGTTTAGTAATAAGCACTTGGTAATTTATACAGACAACATCTGAGCCCTTTTCCCAAAACAGCATCCAGCTTTGCAGCCTTCAAACTCCCTCAGAGCAGCTGAGACTTCCCTCCTTAAAAGTCTGCCACCAAAAAATAAAGGGTCTGAGGTGACTGAGCAAAAATAAGTTTCAGGAGAGACTGGAGAAAAAACAACAATAGCAACAACAAAAAAGTATTCAGGAGGAAAGACCTGGTGGGAAAAACAGATTCTTAGCAAAAAGGCAAGAGTCTTAGAAGCTGCTTTCAGGAAGATGGAAATCAATATTGCTGTTATCACCAGCTAACAGATTTATTAAGACCAAAAATATCCGCTCTCACAAATATAATCAGTAATGATTTTAGATTAAAGAACTAATAACATATATTGATTGTCATTTTACAAATGGCTTCTTACTGTCTTTTCACGTCATGTTAATTAGAAACAAATACATTAATCTTTCCCTTCTACAGTTAGAGCTACCCCCTGCTTAGCTGAAGTTCTTTCGAGCCAGTAAATATGATTTTGCAACATTTTTTTTGAATATTTTCTGAATATTCAAGCATATTTGAATATCACTTGAAAGCTGTGCCTAGTAACTTACCTTCTGAATAGCCACAGGCCTGAGTCAATGCATGACAGTGTGCCAGCATGGAGGCATGAGATACAGTAATGCCCACTGTGCTGCCCTCTTTACTTGTCTTGTACTGAAGAGACAACCGGACACAAACATTAATTTGACAACAAATATGGATGATTTATAGAGGTGAACTGAAAGGATTTTTGCATTACAAAATGGAGACCTACTTTTAGAAAAGAACCAAAGAGCTAGCACACACAAAAAAGAATATATATGTATAAATATGTTCAGAGTATACCCTAACATCTTATGAAAACTGACCATCTATTTATGTCACATGTTTAACTGACCCAAGGATCCCAAACACAAAATATCCCCAAACTTTAGTCGGACTCAGCAAACCCACTCGTATGACAATTTTTGGGGCAAGTTCTAGGGAAACATTCTTGTCCCACAGTGAAAAATGTTGCAGCTATCTCTACCACGGAGTAAAGAGATTAAAGAAGGAAAACATGCTGCGACACAAACCACAGCACGGTCAACTAGAGGTTAGACATACTGTGTTGACTCACTTCTATATAAGCAATCTCAGCACTGGCATCCCGTACTTGCGGATGCCAGTCCTTAGTCGGCTTAGCCAGATGCTTCCCATCAATTACAAACCAAACCAGACGTGGCCAACCTTAAAAGAAAAACAAAAAATTACCATCACTACACTTCTAAAACCAGGGCTTTTTTTCAAGTATTCAGGAATAACAACAAAGGGAAAAGCAAAAGCATGATATTGTTGCTGGGAAAAAGAGCAACTAGCTTGGTTAGGACATACTCTTTTGGCAACGATGTCAGTTTTTCTTCATAAAGTTTAAGTGTGCAAAGTCATAAAGGTGACTTAATAGCAGGATGCAATATATTTAACATTCTTTATCCTCGTGAGAAATAGGAATAGTTTTAAAACATACCTTTGAATGTAACTACCTCTCCAGTCTGAGCTTTAGGAAGGCCTTTTTGACAAGCATCGGTGGTTAAAGCTAATGTTACTCCACAGCTGCCCAAAAGAAATCCAATCTGTTGGCTGCCAGCATCCTACAGAGAAACCATAATATTATGGCAAACTTGCAAATAGTCAAGCTTTAGTACAGTTTACTGCAACTTCACCATGTTTAGACAACATTAAGCCAATGTATATGGAAAAAAAAATCTAGCCAATAAGGTCTCTACACAAGATAAAGCATTGAAATCCATACTAAAAGTTATTTAAGTTTTGCTTATAGCCTACCACTTTAGACATGGCAATAAATCTGGCAAGCAGTGGAAGCACTGTAGTTGCAAAATCAAAGCTGTTGCATCCTTCTGCAGTGCTATAGGAAAGCTTATAAATTCTGGCAAAACACTGAGCCAATTTGATGCTGATTCTGGGTACTGAGTGTTTGCAGCTTTTCAGCTCTGATTTCACATCTTCCCCAGTATCTTCAATGGATCTGGGAGTCCCTGGATGTATGTCCAACATCTGGGGTAACTCTTGCCTCTACTGGATGCATTCACTTACCTTTCTTGTTAGAGGAACTTCTATTGGGACAGGAATAAGTTCTGCCAGGAGACATCCATAAAATGCCACCATGAACATCACTGGGTCACTATTAGGAAATACAAGAGCCACCTGCAGCAGTACATGAATATACAATAAAAGTTTTTGTATATTTATTTCTCCAGTTTAAAACAGTTTTCTTTTAAAAAATGCATTCACAACACTGTTTAGGTTCATAGCTAAACTAACAACACAAATACCAAATAATGTGATAATAAGAGTATTGCAAATCATAGTGTTATATAACTTCCTTCAGCTAAAGTTGCTCCTCACTGACTATCCGTATAGACCATCTTAGCTGTCTTGTCTATAGTGTCTGTAGCTGTCTGTAGCTAGTATATTAACAGTCAATAGCTAATGAAAACTATTCTACTATTGATGGTCTTTTCAATCTTTCTAGCAGAAATCCTATACTTTGGGCTTGAGCTGAAGGATAAAACACATGCTCTTGCATAAACACAGAAGGTCACCTTACCAAAACAGTTTCATAGCTGTCATATATAGTTCAGATAACCATATAAAAACGCTATGCATGGGATAAGCAAAACACTAGTTTGACTTGGTCTATTCTTTCTACTGCTAGCAATAAGAACAATATCTTTAGCAGACTTGTTAGTATTACAGATTGGGCCTGTTGTCTTCAAATTGCTATTGTGCAGATAAAAGGTTAAATTAGCAATTTAGAAAGGACTTGCTATTGGATTTCAAAATTACCGGTATACAGAATTGCAAATAGTAAGGCGAAGCATATTGCTTTTACAATTGAATTATGCAGTTGAAAGCTGTTTTCATGAGGAGATGGCCCTATCTTACACATTGCAAAATCCAGCACATTGCCAAGCACTACAGAAATGAAATAACCACTAGACCTAAAAGTTGAAAATATCATTTATTTTAGATTTAAATGTTAATTTCTGTTTATTCTGACGTAGTTCAAATCAAAAATATACCCGGTCTCCAGGCTTGAGCAGTGGTTCATTCTTAGCAGTCAGTTTGTTTAACAGGGTATACGCTAACTTCAAGCTCCGACTCCACAACTTGCCTAAAGAAAGAACAAATAAGTAAATGAAAAAGCAGTAACTGAAACTGTGGCATTTAATCAGCAAAACTGAATACCCAACGTGCATTACACATATTGATTTTAGATGACAATTTGCAGGCAACTGAGTAAAAGCACCTGGAATAAGACAAGATTGCTTTTGCGAAGCCAATTGCAGCTCACAAGCCAACTAAATTCTTCCAAGGTATCGGAGCACATGCACACACACGGCAAGTCTGCTGGACATAATCTAATTGGATTTCCAAAGTGCACTTAACTCCTTACTAAGGCTTCTTAGAGAGAGAAGCTGCCTAGGGATAAAAAGACCCTAACCTGGTCTAATTTCTTTTTAAAATTATTTTTAAAAATAATTAAAATTCAGAAACAAAGAGTAGAAATAAATGCTGTAAAACCTGGCTCTGTGAAATGTCAGTTCAGTGCTCATTAGCTACCTCCTAAACTTCCTCATTCAATATATATATTTTTTGATATATAATAGTTATAGACAAAAAGGTTATTCAGGACTCATGGATATCAAAACAAATACCCCTCAAAGCTCCAGAGTTGCAAAGGAGCAAAACTAATACACCCACTCAATTACATTTCCCATAAGTATTCATCACAGGTAATAATTCAAACATGAAATTTTAATATTCCTATAAAATACAAGTAACATATTAATGAGCTGCCTTGGGGGACAGAACTCTTTTCCAGAAAAAGCCCAAAATTATTGTAATACTTCCTAGTTCACTGATGCAAAGGAGCTTTGCATTCCACCATAACATCCTTAATACATTCTGAATTACAAGTCATCTCTATAAGGATATGCAAGAATATGCCTGCATGCTAAAATTAGGCATCTGCTCTGCAAATCAGAGTACGTTATTAGTCATCTGTTCCTTCCTACTATTTCACACAATCTCTTTTTAGCTCTCCTCTGCAGGTTCTTTTAAGCAAAAGAATATCATTTTTTAAAGACGTGTAAATAATCAATGTCATATATACGTGTTTTTCTTCATTAATCAATGAACGCCTAATTTACATCTCAACAGCAATCCCAAAGTGTTCATCACTGGCACACAGTCAGCCCATTCCAGGTACACCAAGCTGTTCATTCCATAATGGCCAGCTAATTCTTTTTACCGTTACCAACAACACCTACCATAGGTGAGCGTATAAACAGCTTTGCCTGTGGTATCCAGTGCAGTCAGACACGGCGCTTTTGGTTGGGTAGTTCCCCAGCGCTGTAGGGCAGCCAGCAGAGAAGGGGGCCAGTTGGTTACCACACCTAAGGGTTCACCTTTAAGGACATTCATTTGATTTCCCTCTGGCTTTGGTTGATTCGGATCAGGCTGTTGTACTAAAACCAGAGAACAGCAAAATGACGTAATACCAATGTTAATGAAAGGAACAAATTACGCTTAATGGACTCTTCTATAAATCACTCCTCTGCCCCACAGCTATCGTTACCTCTCCTCTGCTGTATGATTATCTATGCTATGTTAATCTGGGCTTCATTAAAACAAACAAATAACACACCACCACAAACACATCATTTTCAAGTTCTGATTCCACGTTATTCAATGGACCTGGACAGAGGAACAGGATTTGAAACCTGCATTCACTCTTCTGGAATAAATCTCTTGGAAAGTAAGTTTTCTGCCATTTGTTCTGCATGCCTATTTAAATGCAAGCCTTCACCCAGTGAAGAAACATTACTGGATGGAATGGCTTCAGTGAGAACAGGATCTTCTATTGCTGTAACAAATTTCCAACCGGTTGATGACGAATAGCACAACATAATAGTATATAAAAACATAAAAAGCGCACAAAATGTACATACAAAACAGCCCAGATCAAATGCTCCCAGCAGGGATTATCTAGGTTTGAAATGCCACAGCTAACGGGGCATTTTGTTTGATTAGTGGATCATTTCTCACAACCACACAACATTGCTGGGTTTGTGTAATACTTTGATCTTTGAGTAAACTGCTGTTATAACTGTGCCCCAGGCTAGCTATGAAGCTGAAATGCCTTGATCTTGGTTAGGAAAATGAATTCATAGCTGGATATGGCTAACAACCAATAACTTAATAAATAAAAGTTCTAAGAGATGTTCCCCCTATTCTCCACAGTGACATACATAAACTATCATGAAAATTTGCCTGGGATGTCTTTAGGGAAAAACTGGAATTGTAATAATTTTCAGATTGGAAAGCATCAGACGAACAATATGTGAAATCTAGTAGCAGCTGCTCAAAATTGTAGCCACAAGAATATTTTTTATTTGTAAGAATATGAAAACAGAACAAACATTCTTTGAGGTCAACTGATGCAGCTGGTTTTAAAGAAGACTTTTTAATATGCAGTTTATATAGCAGGTAAAAATGCTATTCTTTCTGCTTAGACGCATGCCGGCAAAACAAAAATAAAAGAGTTTTTTTTAGCTGAGTAATACCTGCAAAGCAAACTCAATCTCTATCTTTTCATGTAGTGCACAAACGAGATGTATTGCACAATGCGCTCCAAAGCATGAAATTTTTTGCATTCCCAAGAGCCAATATTAACACACGCACAAACGATATCACGGTTGGTTCTAGTCACTAGTAAGAAACCGTTTTCATTTGGACCGGCTAAAGAGAAGTTTTTCAGAAGAGGTCCTGCGGATACTCGCAGATAAGAAGCTGAACGCGAGTCAACAATGTGTCCTCAGGACACAGAGCTAACCACATAATCATCTATCGTAGGAGCAAGAAAGAAGATTATGCTTCACTTATGACAGCGTATGAGCTCTCTGTCCAGTGTCAACAATCCTATCATGATTTGTTTTCGACAAACAACAAAAACAAAAAACAAAAACACAAAACAAAAAAAGTACTTGCTTGGATAGCTTTTATAAAGCGTGAAACTCCGAGAAAATACTTACCTTCTAGCAGTTCTTCAAAATCATCAACAAAAAACTCTTTCAAGGGTGGGCGTTTTGGTCTTTTCAAGGTATTTAGAAGCTGCTGGATTTTAGAGGACACTCTGCTATTCACTGGGACACCTGGCAAACAGAAAAGCCTTATTACTTACCATACTTACCAGACATACACTAAAACACATATTCATACACATTGCTGAAAACATCTCACTAAATTCAGCACAGCCTACAAGTGGAAAAGCTGTTCAAGACAAGAGTAACTTGTAATTCCAGTGCTTCAGAGATAGCACGTACATTGTACATGATTGGTGTCACATCCCTTCAACATATTCACTTATTCAGAAAAAACGGATTGAAAGGTGAGAAGTTTGTAATATAATCACCATCTGCAGTTTCCAAAATGCTGCTGCTGTAGCCTCTGGGGACTCCTCGTACTGATGCTACCTGGGGGCGCTCATGATGCAAGTGTTCCACTAGGCCCGTAGTCACATCAGGAGGTGTAGAGTGGTTTTCTATAGAAACATAAGAAACAGACACAGCAGCTCATCAGTCATCTTAAGAGTCAATATATTGAAAGTTGCTTTTTAGAGCGTTCTCATTGTTTTCTCACTTCATTCTTTTTCGATTTCTCAGAGAGGTGTGGGGCGGGGGGTAAGAGATTGTATCTTGAAAGGAAAACTGCCATGGCCTTCCAGAATGCCTGTAAGTTACTCCAACTTCTGAAGTGATTCAAAGAACTGAAATAACTAAAGTGATGACTCTCATCTTCACTTCCTGAAGAATATTAGGAAATTCATCCTAAGTAAACATCAGAAGTATAGAAAGAATGTCTGCCTCACAACTTACAGTATAAATACAGGTTCCCTACATTTTGCAACAAAACAGAAATGACTACCTTAAATCTGATGAGAAGGGTTCAGCATTCATTAGGCACTCGGAAAATAATACAAAGGAAAAGTTATTTGGGAACACTGATAGGGTTGTAAAAAAAAGGGCGGGGGGAGCAGAGAAGAGGTGGCTAGGAACAGCTCAAAAAAATGCACAAGACAATAAGACATACTGGAAGGCTCAGAAAACAAGCCCAAACCCTAATAATAAATCATCTTCAACAGAAAACAGCAATAAAACAGTGCATAAAACAGCAATATATGGAAGTGCTGGTGCACAGCGCTCAAGTTATCTTCCAGCACGTCAGAGTCAGGTCTCATGGCAAACGAATGTGCCTAAACCACAGGGAAAAAATGACAGGGGTCTTCATGAGCAAGTTCTCCTCTGTCTACAACTGCTTTATGCTACATACAACAGAGAGCCTCTCCACAGCAATTCCATGCTGAGAAATCAAGGTCCTTTCTATACAAGTTTGTATAATAAGTTCAATTTGCAGGATTATTTGTGCTCAGTTAAAACCACACTAGCTTAAGTATTTAAGCACTTAATTCACATATGTTCATGAGCATGCATGAAACAGGTCTGTATCCGCTATTGGATACTGTGACAAAACACAGAAGGGATGAGATGTCCAAAGCAGTGCCTGAGTAGACATAGGACTTGAAGAAAGGCTTATCAGATTTAGATGGAAATGCCTTTCCATTATTGATTAGAAGTGACAGAGATAAATGCAAAGGAGAGCAGTAGCCAAGAAAAAGTACAGAAAAAATACAGATGATGAAGTGGTTGGTATCAGACAGAAAGTGATCCCTAATGAGGAATCTTTGCAACTGAAGATTCACACACTATAGAAAAGTCACATTTGGAACCTCAGCAGGAGATGGTTTAGATCTACAGACTGCTGTGTCTGATTGCTTTATTTCCAGGAAACCACTCAACCAAAACAGATCTTCAAAATAAGTTTATTAATTGTATTGGAACAACAGTAAAACACTAAAGAGCAAACAAAGCCAGTGAGAACACAATAGGGTCCAACACACCAGCCACTACTTCATTCCTGCATTTCCTCTTCAATTAACTCATTGAAATTCTGTTCCTAGCAGGCTTCACTCCTATAAACCGCAGTGGGGCTGTTTAGAGAACCACTGCAGCTGAAAGCATCCATGCTCTCATCCCCACATCCCCTTTGGAAAAGGGATTATATCTTTAAGTGTTTTATGAATAGATTGTGGGTCAATTATTATCATCAGTTATTTCATCAGGTAACCTGCAAGTAGCAATTTTGGAAATACTATATGGCAGAGTCTGTGACCTTGTAAAAACCTGGACAAATTGCTACCCTCACTCCCTCCAAGAAAGATTTTACACTAAAAGAAAAAAAGATATGTTAGATGTTGCCCTTGCTTTTACTAATGAAAGACAAAGATATCACTCTGCATTAGATGCACGTTTATTTAATTACGCTGTAACTCTGCACTCCTAGCACTGCAGTCTATTGCTCAGGCTGCTATTTAGTATGATCTCATCATTAAAAATGCAAACTGGAGAAGACTAACCCCAGGGAACAAGCTGCTAAATTTAAATTCTCTGACAAATCAAATTATAAAAAAGTTATTCAATGCACACTCAAAATATAGAATATTTTAATATGACATAGCACTGAAAATACATAGGATGTCCTTTATATTGCTTATGTTAACAAATGAAGTGAAAAATTATCTAAACTTGTATTATGCTCTAAGGACAAATCAAATCAGTCCTTTATTCTGCCCAGTAGTCTGATATACACCAATAATAAAAAAAAGGAGTTATAACATAAAAAATTGAATAAGTTTTCATATTTTTATGAGCAAGGAAGTCCACAAACATGATGACAAATTGCTTTAGCATGAATATTATTAAAACCAAAGTGTAATGGGACATGCACAGATGCTAGGAATGAGGGTGAAAGTCGACAGAATGGGGCAGGTATTGCAGAAATGAGGAAGACTTCTTTTGCAGAGAGACATTTAAGTCTTTTTTTTTTTTTTTTTTTTGTCAAAAGCACTGGTAATTTTATCCTTCTAAACACTTTTTGAAATTGGCTGTATACTTAATTATTCCTGAACTTTCTTCCTGATGCATATTGTAACCATAAATTTATTTCCCACACATGAAATCACAAACAACTCCCCTACATGCGGTCACTCAGGCAGCTTTTTAAACTCTGAACTTTCAGAGTTCAGAATAATAAGGCATTGATTTTGCATATGATTTTCATGAGTATATAGCCTGCCTAGATAGGTGTCAAGTAGTTGATTGTGAAACCTGATGTGTATTTATATAGCCTGAGATATTTATGTAACAGGATGCTGGGTTACATACTGCATATACTGTTATTCTCTACATTTTTAATGGGTATATTAAAAACTTCATTATCCTATGTATAGCAATGGCAGTCCCTCCAAGTTGACTTGTTAACTTTAAGGAGTTAATCTCTTTGAATTCATCATGTGAAACTGCCCTCAAAGCTTAAGGCAAACTGTAGGAACATTCTAAGTACAAACCCCACAAATTTCCTACTTTGAGATTCTGAAGTTAGCAGGGGTTCCAATATTGTTACAGTGTATCTGGCATGCTGGGCCCTTTACAGTGGTACTATGACCAGGCAGCAGAATCTCAAAGTTCTAAATTATAAACAAACAAACTTTTGTTTGTTTGAGAATGAGAATGTAAAAAATTACAGATACATTTACAGGTAATGAAATGAGTTATTTGCGTGCAGACAGAAAAAAAAACAATCTCATTAACAAACTGCCCCAAAATTTAACTTAAGTGAAAAATTTAACTAGCTTATTCTTCACTGATGAATCACAGGAAAATTGGCAAATGCTGCCCATAACTTTGGTAAGAAAGGAAGAAAACAAACAAACAAAAAAAAACATTCCAGTATGCAGCAGCTTTCTAAGGCAATAGCATCCAGCAAGCTAGAGAGAAGTAAAAAGCAAGTTTTGACTTCTGCGAGAGCTTAGAAATCAAAATTCCTCTCCCTTTTTGATTTCCAAAGTAAAGAGATTCCCATTCAAAAGAGAGAAGTGGGCAAATGTAAATAGCAAAAACACAGATGGACCTTCTCAGAGGCTCTCCAACATCAAATGTCAGGGACACATATTCACTACCCATCTTCACTAGAGCATAGGAAAAGCACTGTAAAAAAATACTTCTACCCTGGAAAAGCAGTCTTTTCTCCCTCCCTACTGAATCTCCTAAGAACAAAAATGCAGTGCTCTGTATTTTGTACGAATCAAAGTCACCTGAAGCTCTGGACACTCATTATATTTTAGAAAATAAGGCAAAATTCCCACTTGCCTTTTGGCTTACCAGTATTACTTTTTCACTTTGGTTCCATTATAAAGCACTATTATTCATGACTTTAATAAATTAAAGGAGGAAAAAAAAATACACCCTAATTTATAATGTAACATTGCCACTACTTCTGATTTGATAACTTTCCAAAAAATTTTACAAAGCTGTTTGGACCTTTACCACTTGAGTGGCTTTTGAACTTCACAATCTGAAGTTTCGTTTCTGCAAACGAATGCAGATCAGAAAGCAAGCATCAAAAATATCACCCCTTGCAAACTCTATTCTTTACTGAAATTTTTACTTTAAGTAGCTTCTTGATAAATCTACTACTTTTTCAAGAGAAGTGCTAAGATTTCATGAATAACTGGTTTTAAATTATTTACATACACATCATACATACCTAGTCTGTAGACTGGGCATTGTAAGGCTATTTATGGATACCATCTGGTGCAGCACAGCACTCATACCTAATTTTGGTGTTTATCTCTTTTTTTTTTTTTTTTTTGAGTTTGTTTTAACCACACAGGTAGTTCTTTACTGACCTAGCTGGGTGTGTGCCATAAGATCTGCAATCACAGTGGCAGCAGCGCTGGCAGTAGCAGTATTGGAAGCAGCAGCAGGTTTCCCTCCTGGATGAGATGAGGTGGAGGATGCAGAGGATGAGGTGGAGGAGCCCTGAATGACCCGGTTAAGCCAGGGCTCTACGTTGGAATGGCTCTGGAACGGAGTGGAGGTGATCCGCCCTTGCCGACGTAAGGAGCCCTCATCTTCTGATGCTGACGATGTGTCTGTGATTAAAATAATGATGACAGGCATGTAATGTGCGAATGAGCCAACACACAGGAACATGAAGTTCTTCCATGTTCTTCACGTAGCGTTCTCATGTGCTAAACATGAGATGCATGTATTAAGCAAATGGTCTATTCACATGCACTAATTTTGCTCATGGCCTTTTTTAAAGGATAGCATAACAACTTCTACACGTTATAGTTAGCACAGACTCAAAGAAAGGTGTCATTTACCTCCTGTATTTGGAAAGGCTGAAAACCTGAAAAAGCTACTGCCTAAAGCGGTCGAGTAGTCATTAACAACTGCAAGTGGCCATAGGATACTGACTCCATTGAAAGAATATTTCTGTTTTGAGTAGGTGAATTGGGACTCATCCTCCCTGAATAAATTCTATTATTCTGGGGCTGTCTTATTAAAAAAGCACAGTACTAAAAAGTTTAATAGAAGTTATTTCATTAACCTAAAAATAATTTAAGAAGGATTAAAGAGCTTGTATTATAACCATACGAACCAATACTAATGAATATGATAGCATAAAACATCTTTTTACTGTGCATGTATATTTGTTGCTGTTATAGTCTGACTAAGGGCTCCTATTTTAGTTACTTTCCAGCTATTCAGAACTTGCCTGACATTTCCCCTGTGTGTTCCTTCCACATTTATTACCTGCTTGACAGTAATTAAAAAGGTCTTTTTAAAGTTCAAGAAAACACAGCTCTATTGATTATGAGTGAACACCAGAAACTTTTATTAAAGAAAAATTTTCTCATTTTTTTAGCTCAATTTCTGTCAAAATTATTGTGATGTGAAACTGATGCATGTCACAGCAGTGAATGTCCACTACAGTTGGACATTTAGGCTCTTCCTAAAGAAACTGCTGTACTTGAAGAACAAGAACCTCTGCACATTTTCTCTACTCTCTTCTAGGTTAATTAGAGGAAAGCTGCTAAAAAAAATTCACTTCCTATATATTGATAAACTCCTCTTCCTACATATTGATAAACTCATTGAGTAAGTTTGTGAATAGCTCCTAAAATAAGGTACTTCCCATATACTGAAAATCAGTTTGTAAAAAGCAGTTTAAATTCACACATAACAGTGAGGACAATTAAGAAAAGGTGCTGCAAGCAGAAGATCACAGGAGTGGTCGAAAAAACAAAATAGTGAAGATATAGTCTAGAGTTTTTTCCAGATGCTGAGACTGTGCACAATGGTGGGAGTTACCACAGAAATTCTGCAACCTTAGCTTTGGCCCTTAGTCCTCTTAAACTGCTCTTAAACAGTTAAAGCACAAAAGTGGAGACGGGTTTCATAAGAGTCCAATTCGATGCAATGGCCTTTTCAAAGTTAAGCTTGCAGATCTCTCACTACTTGATCACCTCATGGCAAACATGACACGTTTTGAATGAAAACAAAGAACTGATCTTTGAGAAGATAATACAGCTGTGGTAAATCACCATTCCTGGGGCTGAGTCTTATACATTTCTGGTCTGCTCCCCTAGTTGTACTTTTTGGCTGCTGCCTCCCTCTACTCCTGGAAAGGAGCCAAACCAATTCCTTAGGGCTTACAACCTTCTCTTTTTGGGGGGGCAGAAGGCAAAAATAAACAATTCCTGGAAAATCTAACAAGGCAGGATTACAAGCACTCAGGTTTAGCAAAAATATATTTGTGATTTATTATCACTTCAGAGTAAAAATACAGGAAAAAAAACAGCTTTCAAAGTGTATATATATATTCTGATAGCATCCCTCACACAGGCATATATTTAATGAAGGCTCTATAAAATCACTAAGCTTGCAGATCTGTTACATAAGCCAAAAACAACTTTATGCTTCTAAACTTAAGGTTATAAATGAAAACGTAAAATTAAACGCAACGCACCTAGCAATAGAAATGCTCAATAACAAAACGGAATTACCACAGCAAGAGCAGCAAGTTAAAGGCAGCAAATCAGCCCTCTGACAGTCACAGAGTTAAAAGTCAGCCTGCACTGTGCTGCGCACAGAATGCTATGTACTTGGCTTGCAATTCTTCCTGGCTGGGAGCTGACCCAAGATAGCCACAAAAACCACCACCCTTTGGACCTAACATGCATCAAGGCTACAGCTGAAGTTCTGCTCACATGAAATCAGTCCGGGAAAGACCAACATGAAAACAAAAGCACAAGAACATTTTTGGAGGGATGACCGAGAAAAGCAGTTTCATGAGCACCTATCAAGGGAGTTGGTTTCAAACCTAACATTGTGACTGGAATCTGACGTTTCCTTCCTGAGTAGCGCAAGTAAATGTTTCTAGGACAATTTCAGCTTTTAAATATGAAGAAAGCCTGGTTCTAATTGCAATAATTTATGCCAATACAAGGATTTTTTGAGGTAGAATTTAATAGTTCAAGTCTATACATTGCCAGTAACTTAAACAGAGCATGCAGAGTGCTAAAGCAGCTGATAAGAGTGTTTTGAAGGAACCTCAAAGAACAAAGGCGTGTGGTGCTCCTGATGCAAGCCATTGTGAGTTTAGGATTATTGCTCCCTCAAAGACAGCTTCAAGATAGGAAGTGCAACTGCCTGGCATTCAGTTGCAGGAAGTGTGTGGACTCTGCAGAGATCAGGAGCCTTTTGCCAAGGTCTCCTAGTTAGATGAAGTTTTATGCGCTTCCACAACATAAGACTTATTTTGCACGACTACCTTTGTCAAAAGCTTTACATCAGTTATTACAATCCGCTGGCTTTTTTGGTTTGAAGGGAGACCACCTCCATATCCAGCAAGTATTGTGTAATCTCCTTGCTAGCACAGTGACCTGTTGCTACTGCTCAACAGCAAAATCACAGCTTCAGGAGTGACTCAGGCTCTTTGGAATCCAAGATTTTTCTTGCTGAGCTGGCTTTGCAAATCAAGAAAAACAGTCTTAGCCATGGGATGGCTGTCCTTGTAGATAAATCCAACTGAAGCAAATCCACTGAGTATTTTTTAACGTCTGGATCTTTCAGCGATACAAAGCTCATGCAGTGATCCATTCTCTTACAGGGAGAATGAAAGGGAAATTCCAAGGTCCATAACTAGTTGCCTTCACTTAAATCCAACATGGCACTTCCCAGAGAACTTATTTTTTTTTCTCATACAACATTAGAGTACTTCTGTATCCTATTAAAACCCAGTACAAGCATATTCAGCATTAGTGCTAAACATGTGGAAAGGTACATTAGTAGACACTCTCTAGCCACTCCTCACAAACAGTAATTTTTTCTTAAAGAGTGAAAAATCCACACCAATAAATTCAAGTGCATTCCTGAGCAGAGTACTTCACAGGAGCTTATCTTATCTAAGCCCTGTAAGCACCCTTCACAACAAAGCATGCCGGAAGGTATTGGATGACCTGAGCTGCACAGGCAGTTTCCCTGTAAGCAGACACAGGGAAGCCATCTAAAAGTTGTCTTGGGGTTTTGACAGCCTCTCTACATTTTCTCCTTAGAAGATGAATTGCTTGAAGAGCCATAAACAGAAGCTCTAGGACTTATCTCCTGAAGTCTTAACATGGACACTAGAGTTTCATTTTCTCAATGATTTCAAATTAAGCAGCTTTTGTATATAAAAACATGTATGCATGATGCATGACATGCACGCAGAAATGCTTTGATCACCACTCTGCTGAACGAGTTGCTGTCACAAGCCTCTGAGTAAACGAATGCTAGAAGAATAAGCTATATATTTGAAAGGAGAAAATTGTATTCAAGGTGAAGATGACCAGACTCAAGGCTACAGAAGATATTATTTAACTAACGCAAACAAACAAAACCACATATACACACAAAAAGTATCATACAAAAGAATCCAACTAGCAAAAAACAGCATAGTTCCTGTGAAGAAGAAAGAAAAAATACAGCCCAGGAATGCAAGAGAGCGGCACAGCAGAGCTTTTCTTATCGATAGGGATGAGGAAGAAAACTGATGAAGAAGGGCACTAGAGGTCAGTATGCTCCTACTCCAGGGCCACATTAAGGAGGACCATACTAAGAGCACAGCATTTAAAACTTAAGGGCTTAGGGGAAATTCCTTTTCTTTGTATGCAAGATACGGGCCCCAAAATATTTGGCTTGCTAGCACAACATGTATCTGGAGAAACATTTTTCTCAGCCTCTAGAGAATTCATTGTGAGACAACAGGAAGATGATTTTTTTTTCTGAAAAACAGTTTAAAAAAAAACTTTCTGAGCTAAACAAACTAAGCAATTTTAGCATCTGACTGCCTGAGTGCTTTAAATTGCTCACAGTTGAGACCATCTGATGAATGCTTTGCAAGCTAATGCAGCAACTTAATACTTCAGCGTTTTCTTCATCTGAAAGGAAAGGATCTTATGCAACATGAAATAAGCTATTTACAGCTCTGACATGCTTGCCAGGATTACATCTTTCCAAGGGAGATGATACGTACGAGAACACACTTAATGCATAAATGGCAACTTCTCACTCGAAATCTGAGAGCTTTTGTGTGGATCTTGGCACTTGCAATATCTCTAGATGAGAAACTAAAATTCTCAAGGAACGACACATCAAAGAACAAATGTAACCAACACCTGGGTATCAGGAATTACAGCCATGAATATGGAAGAAGTTTACTGCAACATACTTCCACAGCAGCAGAACAAAGCATTTTTTTTTTGCATTTTGCTATTATTATGTTCACCTGGCAACATATACGTATGTTAACGCAGTAGATACCTGGAGGCGTGTACGTTTCTACTGAAGAGTGCACGAGAACAGATCGTCTTTTTGAAGGCATGGGCATTTTCCTCTCTTTGTATTTGGCCAGTGCTGCTTGTACTGCTTCAGTGTGGACGTCTGCATAATGAATAAAAAAAAAATTAAGAGATTAAGTTTAATAATAATTTCTTTCAAGAAACACAAAAAGCCGCAATTCCACCTTTCAAAAGGCAAATACAAAATACAAAAGCTGAATTCTAACCTTAGGACTTTAATCCTATATATTCAGACTTCCTCCTAATATCCACTTCTCATAGCAGCCAAAGGGAGGAAGTTCTCAATCTCAAAGGAGCAGCATTTCTTGGAGAAGAGAAAGGTCTAAGGCCAAACCACAGTGGCTTTCATTTCTGAGGCAGACACATCTGCATTTATTCAGTCTGAGAGAAATAGAGCTGAGACCTATAGTGTCACTGCCCTCCCCCCAGTTTGGTTCATGTGCAATTGAGGCACAATTTAAGGGAGGATATAAGCAAAGGGGTGAGGGGAACTTCGCTTCCTTAGTGGCACTACCAAATGCAATCACTTTGAGTCCATCCAATCACATTGCAAACACCAGAGTATGAAAAGGATCTTCGAGCATTTTTTTTTTAAGTTTTCTTAAATTTGCAAATATATAACTAGATCTGTTTACAGACAAATTATTCCAAGCACAGCAGCACAAGTACAGTTGTTGTCAATCTCAACTGTTGGAACTGTGTTCCGTCCTGCACATGACACCTACAACCTGCACATCTCCGGCACGATGCATCACTCCTCAAATGACTTTGTGGTAGCACACAGTCAGCAACGCTAGCAAAGAGAGCTCATCTTTTGACGGATTTTTATGTATTGTATTTTTATGAAAGCTGTAAGATTTTTCAGTATCACAGGGTGCGAAGGACTATCAAGTAGGAGAACAGAATACAGGAGACCAAAATGAACTTGCAGGGCATCTTGGTATAAAACATCATCTCCTCAAAGCAGCTGTGTTCCCACATGCTGGAGGGATGTGTCCCCCAATATTTGGACGACAAGTCTTCAATTCTCAGATTCAAAACCAGATTATGAGTGTACAGACTTCCAGACCTTCCTTACACACTTTGTTCCTTAAATCAATTCAAACTGATGTGAAAAACAAGAGTAGTCAAAAATCCCTGCAGCAGAAGGCCACAGCACCTTCCAGAGAAATACCAAAAAACCCACATCCATCCCATTCTAGAAGCCCATAGGAACCCACATCCTATTCTTAACCAAAATCTGGAAGCTGAAATCTGAAAAAATATATATAAATAAAATAAGCACTGTGCTTATGGTATCCCAACTCGTTAATAATTATTCATTTCCCATGTCTGCAGCTCCTCCAGATCATCTGCTCAGTTCTGGGTTTAATACATGCACACAACTGCTTTGTATCATGTGAGGATTCTCCCAAATATTAAAAAACATATAGGACACCTGCTTGTCTGAAACAAAGCGTATTTTGCACAGCTATGTGGAGAGGTCTGGGGACACCTGAAAAAAAAATCACCTAATAAAACTCTGCCTTTTGACGTAAGATTTTTATATATACATATACATACACATAACATATATGCATACACACAGACACATACGTATATGGCCATATATATACTGGTCACTGTGCTAGATTACAAATTATTTGTGCAGCCTTTAAAGTCAGTCCTACGGAACACTTCTATAACAGAGTATTAGACAAAAGCAAGCTGAATCTTTTTAAAAGAATATAAATATACATTTCGGTTCTGCTTATTTCTATATGTATTTTAGAAGAACATTTTAATGTTGCTTTAAGAGTTGAAAGGAACAAGCAGAACAGAACAAAAGACATCTTCTCCAGGAAAGGTCTTTCAAAAGATAAGGTCATAACATCCTACAGATTTGTAGGATGCTTGGTGGCAAGCAAACTACTCTTCCATTTCTGGAGTGCAAAATCAGCACTACCTTTTCTCCTAGGCACCCTTCATTTCCCCCTGAAACCTGGAAAATGTAGGATTACATGATAAAAGGTAACCAGAAAACAGTCACCATTAAATTCTTTTTCTGCCTTCATGTTTTATTTTCATGGTGGTGACTCCATCAGCTCCTTCTGTATTCACTTAAGATCTACTTCCAGGTTGAAATTTCCTTCTAATATCTTGCCCTTACATAACAACTGGGTAGGACCATCTTCTATCAGCCAAATTAATTAAAAGTAATTGGTTTCGCCTTCCTGGAATGCTTTGTTCTTTTTCCATGTTTCCTTTAAGAGCTTTTTGACATAATGGAGACAATACCAACTTCACTAATAAAACAGTGAAGGAATGAAATAACTAAGGAAACAGAACACTCGGGGGACATATTTGCAAAAATTGTAATAAATTAAAGCTTATCTGAACCTTGAATTGCAAAAGGAAATTGTCTAACCTTGGCTATTACTAAATTCTTAAACAGTTGCTTATGAACATGATTTAACACGTAACAGGTGAGAAATACAGGGTTCAGCTTCTTTTTTTCACCTAATTAAATAACTAAATAATTAAATAGTAGATAATTAAATTACATCAAACCTAGCACTGTTTGTACTATGGGATGTTACTGAGAATCGGGAGCACAAGCTTCCGCTGGGAACACTGAAAGAGACGAACAGCAAGTCCAACTTGTATTACCACAAAGACTAAGGCTACCAAAGTGAGAAGGAAATACATGTGCTTCCACGCAAAAGCAAAAGAAATTGTCTTGGGGGAGAGCATAAAAAGCAAAAACAGTTGTAGTTCGTGATTTTTATTAAGCCGCAGCAAACTATCAGCTTCCTACTTATTGATGCAAACATTTTTGGAGGATATTTTTTATTGTATTAAACCATATGATCTTTGCTTCCACCTCACTTACCTGTTTGCATCATCTTTCCTTCAAAACCTCTTAAAAAAAAAATTAAAAAACAGGACGGGAAAGGAAAACCTAGGGGGCAGCCCCCCGTTTATCAGCTTAAATGGCTATACCGTGAACCTCAGAGCTATTGGCAGAATATTTGTGGTTTCGTATTGTTTTTCAGTAGCCTCTTGTTTATCAGCCTTTTAGGCTGTTTATTTATTAGGATGTTTATTCCTTTTTAAGCACAGGAGCAATAACTTATACAGGTGTTCAAAGATGAACAGAATCAGTAGCTCACCAGTTTCACTGCAGGGATTAAGTAAGTATAGACATGTTGGTATATAGTTGGAGAGGTTAAATCTACTAAACTGTCCAAAATGGGAAGTCTTTTAAGTTAATAACTGTGGGATCAGTAAATTAAGCCTTCCAGCTTTGATAGACAGTACTCATTATTGCACCCTCCACACTTGCTTCCTGAAGTGAATCTTGCATTAAGAAGAGCTTCCACTGGAAACTTTGCATTTCCTTTACTGTGCGTTATTAAACGTCAGCAAGCTGCATTACACCAAGGAGTCTCTGAACTGTGGGCACGAGGGACTTGCTGCTGATCAGCCCATACTGATGCCTGCAAAGCCTCTGCATTTCTCCTCTCCTCCATCACACTGCTGCCATTATAAATAGAAGAAAAAGATCTAGCTCAAGCACTGTTATGTTATCTGCCCTTCAGGGAATGCTTCCATTGTTGAAGCTTTCTGGTACTTTTTCCTGCTTGAAGACAGAAAGTTGTGCTGATTAAAAAAAAAAAAAAGTTAATTTCAATGGAAGATCACTCTGGGAAACTATGTTAAAAAAATCTGCTTACAGCAAGTGAATGGCAGATTAATTGCATAAGAAAGAGCAACATTGTTGCATTCAGAAGTAATTTATGTATGTCTAAAATAACTATAATTGCTCCAAAAGAGATACTATTTTATTAAAAAAAAATGCATTCTCTTCTCATCAGTTACTCTCAGAAAGGAAACAGTAGAACAGACAAGGTACAAGGAAAGGAAAGGAAAAAATAAACAAACAGAAGGCTGGGAGGAAAGAAAAAAAGAAGGAACTGAAAAAAAGCCTGAAGTCTAAAGAACAGTAAGACATACTGTTGATTGAAGAAGTAATACTAGTGTGAAGCTGTTTATTCCTCGTCATATTTAACACATGCCAACATGCAATGATATTTAAGAGGTATGGTTTCAACCTGTTTGCAATAAGACATCTTTTTGGTTGGTAGAAATTTCTTCTAGCACAGCCAGAACCTCAAAGATGAACTGGGATTGCTTCTAAGCTACCGTGCAACACAGTGATGATTCTTATTTATGCAAAAGTCTTTGGAAGGAGGGGGGGAAAAAAAATCAAGTAATTTAGCAGGAACTGCTGTTCTCTGGGAATGGAGCCGACATCTGCATTCATAATCCCTGCATAACTAGATTTTGTAGCACAAATAGCTGTGAAAAAGAGCACTGATGCTGCAGAAAAGCATATTCCAAGTCAAATCAACTAGATGATTCAACATCTGCTGCAATAAGAGTGGTAATACTTTCAAAGAGGAAAAATACATTCAAAAGCCTCACATTCTTTCAGTCTACCTTCCTCATATAAATAAATGAGAGAAATAACAGCTGAATGAATATGAAGTCTTTTTTCCCTAAAAAATAAAGAACAAAGAGGAAAAGGTTATTGGATTCTGAAAGGTATGTGTCTACCTATATATCTATAAATATTAAAATCACAGAATGACATTGCAGTCCATCTGAAACACTACCTAGCATTTTGGCAGAAGCCAGGGATAAGTACAAGATAAAAAAAAAATCCACATATTAGACTTCATCTCAAATAACCACTTGCTGACAGGATGGCCCAAATGTCAAGACTCATGGAGAAAGGCTCATATGGAAATGTAAAAATATTAGGGAAGCTGTAAGCCAATAAAACTGTGAATAGCTTTTCAAAATCAATGGAAGTCAATTCAAAGATACTTAAATCAGCCAGACCATAGAAATATTAACTGAAATTCTAAGAAAAAAAGAGGAAGCACTGATGTGTGGATAGTTAGGGCAACATTTAAGTGCCATCTCCATTCATTTACAAGTATGCTAGCAGAAATGTTTGAAGTTCATGCCCTGCTACACCTTTTGCAGTGTAAGACTAAAGAGCTCTATGCTAAACAGTCCCCAAACAATACCAATAATATGGTAGATTTGTAAGTTCCCAAGACAGAAAATGTGCGCAAATACACATTTCTTTAGATCCTCTTACTTCTCTTTCCTAATGGTTTCCCATTGTAAGGAACTTTTTGCAGATTTAATGTTAGAAATAAAAGGCCACATCAAAGGCCACATTAAATAAATTTCTACATGATTAATGATTCAGTTTGTAATTTACTTGGACTCCGCTTAGCACAAACTAAATGGGAAATCAGGGCTGTAATTCACCAAATAAACCTTATTCTTTGGTATATGTATGTAGAACTTTAACATAGATAGATACACCTTAAATGCAAAGAAAATTTTAAACGACAATTTGTGCATTTCTCTGAGAAATCTGACTAAGTAATTTTGATACTATGCTATCTTCCCTGAAACGGAAAAAATCAGCAGCTGACTACATATACCTTTTCTCAAGGTGTCTTTATAGGTACTTGGACTATTTAAGCTTTCTCATTCTCCTATTTTATTTTATTCAGAAAGAGCCCTTGCAGATGTATCATCTCCAATTTGGAACATGGGTTTCTCAAAGTAAATGTCAGCAACTCAAATACAATGCAGTAAATACCATGGCCAAGTAGTTGCACAGTACGGTGACCCAAAACCAGCAACATTTTAAGGTAATTTAGTGCATGTCATTACTTGCACTCCCTCATCCCCAGGAGACACTTCTGAGGCATATAATTACTCTTGAAAAACAACAGATAAACTTCCACTTAAAAATCTGAAGATATTTAGTGGAAAAAAAAAATCCCAAACACCTGCTTTTCTCACTATTGTGACAAGGAGTTTTGCAAGGAAACAGAGTATTTTAACCACCTGAAAAGTAACAATGGAAACAGGATGCAATGAGGATATAGATATTTTTCACAGAAGTTTCCAAAATAGGTTTGTCACAGTGGTGTCTGTTCAAAATTAACATAAAATATCCATTGTGACGTTTCCCTTTTTTGTGCATTTGCTTCAAAATGGAAAATATTTGAAAGTGAGCTATAGTAAATATGACATTTCTATAATCTTCCTGTTTAAAACAAAACAAAAAGCACTCTATAGTCCTCAGAGTGTTTAAACATGTGTTCTAAAGACCGGAAACCTGATCAGCAACTAAGAGCTAATCTGTTCAATGTGGCGTAAACTCACAATAAGGAAAACATATGAAACAATCTACAAGTTCTACAATGTCTACAATTTCTTCCTCTCCTAGTGTTTCCTCCACTCCAAAATAAAAATACTTGTGTATAGAAATGTACAAGGCTTCCATGGAAATATTCCTCATTTCTTCCTCTCTTTCAAAGCACTTCCACTTCACTCGCGAGCTGCGCGTACGACTTTGCCTTGGTAAAAACATCTTCTATTTTTTGTTTTCTTACCAGATCGAAAGCGCTCATCCCTTGAGTTGGTAGAACGGGACTTCTGCTGTTTGGACACAGCAGCTGTAGCTTGCGAAGAGCCTGGGACTCGGTTCTCTGCTTGCAGGGATGGATCCACACCTGAAATACAGTTTTACTTCAGTACAAGGTCAGGTTCCAACTAAACATGTTTCATGTTCTCCTCCTTCCACCACTCTTTACACCTACTTACAAACCAATCACATTAAGTTTATTCCTTTAGAAGTTTCATTTTCTTACTTTAAATTGGCTTTTTTTTTGAACCAAAACCTAATTTGATCTGATTAGCATTTTATCCAGAATAAGAAGGACCACTGAACAACAGAGGTAGGAACATCATCATCATCCTTCCCCAATTCTATCTTGGTCAGCGTTTTGCATCCCAGCTGGTCACAGGTAGGAGGGGAAGGGACCCAAGCTCCTCTTAACCCCCAAAACTCAGTTTACTGTGAGATGATGAGAGAAAAAAATGCCAACCATCCAGAACCAAGTAGCATCTAAGCCTATGAACATAAGGGTAAGCCTGAAAAATAGTCAGCAGAACAGAAAACCAATTTCCTTAACCAAATCATTGTAAGGTTGTTTGCAAAGATTACTACAGTTATGCAGCAGACGAGAAGTTGTGAAAGAGATAGTTTAATAGTAAACTGCCTTTAACACACATAAGATCTGCTGCACCAAGTTGATATGTTACTATGTTATGTGACTTGGAAAGCCCATTTACCAAACTCAGTTGGTTCAACATATCTTATTTTTGAGCAGTGATACAACTACTTCAGGACTGTATTTTATATTTCATATAATCAAAAAGCTTGTCTTCTTCCCAGATCAAGAGCCCAGCTAGATTTGTTGGTTTGTAAACAGTTAAACTTCTTGAGTTCATAATCAGTGGAAAAAAAATAAAAACCTGATGCAAGTCATCTCCACCAAGCCTGGGCCAAGAAAATAACAGATGCAAGAAGCTAATGTGATAACTGAGGGGGCGAAGAGGAGAAAAGGGATGAGCAGCTAAGCTGGGTGTCTCCCAAAAATAGATTGTCTATTTATGAAACTTGTCAACAACAGCAAATCTGCATTAGGAGAGTACCCATCCAAGAATGGGCCAAATATGACATCAGTTTTGTATGATCTTGTCTCTAAGGACACTGGAGAAGGAGGCAACAAAAGAGAATGAGATTTTTTGTGCCTTTTATTTTTCCTGGAAGAAAAAGAGGAGGAGGAATATTAAAGGTATGTGGAGGAAGAGATTTACGTCCTACTCAACCCAGGACATGAAATACATTGTTACTGGCTTCTGCACCTTTCTGAGTTGCAGACATGCAGCAAGAAACCAGAGCCCAGACCTGCAAGGCCACTGAAGACCCTCTTCTGCTCTGGGCAAATGTGGAATATTAACCAATACAAGACAAGCTGCAGTAAAACACTCCTGAGCCACATGCAACTTGAGTATTGCAATTCAGCCAGTCTAATACTGGGGGTTTGGGGAAGGGGAGACCATAAGTGAATGCAAAAGACTGCATCAAAGCCTAACACCTTCAAAAGCAAAAGCCTTTCCTCCACCAGCTCTTACAGAGCACAGTCTTTGTGGATGAGAACTGGGGTAGCTGCATTGCAATGAAATACATATCAATGAACCACACAAGCTCCTTTTAGGTCAGGATGGTACACAAAGATCAGTGGCACAGTCAGAAACAAAGCTCATGTTTCTGTATATTAAATCTCCCTTTTCCCTTTCTCAGGGAAAAAGGTTTCAGGACATAGCGCAAAACACCAAGAAAAATTTCTGAAAAATATCACTTCTTATTTGGTAAAAATAAAGTGACTAAGAGCTTGCACCTAAAGCTCAAGCTACATGGTTACATCCCAGAAAAATCCCGTTCTGCAAGCCCGAGGAACTTGTTAGTTTATTCCACTACTATGCACATCACAACCTTCCTCTTCGTTAGCAAAACTGGATGGATATTTAGGCTACTCCCACCTTCCACTCACAGTAAAGATGGGCAGATCTTTCCAAACAAAGCATTCTAAAAAACAGTCATTGGAGAAACTCCATATCCACAAATACTTATTAAAAAGTGCCCTTCTGTTTCAATACAATAAACCCCACCCAATTTGTTAAACTAAACATGAAACACTTTGCAATACAAGCACAGCTTAATGTTGCTTTAGACTCACTGGCAGCTTGCAGCATTCAGTGGAAAATCTCTCGTAAATGAGGTTAACTGTAAAATCAAAACTGAGTTAAAGAAAACTTTCTAGAAGTCCCATAAGCTTCCTAAAGCTACCATAAATAACAACTAATACATGGTTCTGAGGGAACGATTATAATCAATAATCTCAACAGAGATTTTAGAAGTCAACTAGGCTTTTAATAGCGCTACAGACAAAAAATACATTTGTTCTGTAAACTATCTTGTATATATACAATTATAGCTACAAACAAGTTTTTCCCCACTTAGTCCCCACAGCTCATATGTTATGCCTGTACTTGTCATGTAAATACCCATTTAACCACAGTGTAAAAAATGAAATGCTGCATGGAAAAGACCTTGATTTGAGAATCTGTGATGCACACAGGCTTCATCATCATCATCATAAAATAAATAAATAAATAAATAAAGAACTGGTTATTTTAAAGCATAAATTTGTAACCGTGCTGCGGGTGACAACATGCTTCTCAATTACACATGAACTCGGAAGGGTAGAGGAGCAGAATTTAGCCCCCAGCTTTGCTACTCTTCACAAAATAGCACTTGAGCAAACTGCATAGCTACCCCCTTCCACCCAAAAAAGCTTTCTTCTTCATGTCTCTCAAAAGCGCAGGCTTCACTGCTAGAGGACTTTCCCTGGGAAACATGCAGAGCAGTGGTCCTCCTGCCTCTTCAACCTTGCCTTCCACATAAGACAAGTCTATCACTGTAACTGAACACGTTTTAAAGGTTTTTCCCCAGATGCTTCAGCAAATTCTTCTTTGTGGCAGTTATTAGACATACGCATTTAATTATCTTCACAAAAATAACCCCACTTGTACTGAACTGCATCTCCCAAAAAAGAAATTCAGACAAATTAATTTCATTTCTAAACTAGGTTAATGTATGAGAGATGGTTGCACCAGTTTACAAGCCAAATCTTTCAAAAAATCTCTTCTCCCAAGTTTTAAGGTGAACTGAAAAGTAAAAGCAAAGCAGTTAAAACACAGTAAGAAAAATCCACTCATGCCAGTTTTACTTGCATTGCTTTGAGAGTTATATATTGTGCCTCCAGCCATTCACAATCTGCAGGGAAAAAAAAAAAAAAGATGGATCACGTTAAGGAGAGCTTTGCAGAGAGTAATGGGAAGAGGGAGGCCCAAGAGGTAATGTGAGGCTTTGGGAGCATCTTACACAGGTTACTGTTAAGTCTTTGTGCAGCTGTTGGACTGAGTCTAGGAATAAGAAAAGAACAAAAGGAAAAAAAAAATACAGGTTTGAAGTGAAAGAGAGGGAAAAGGAGTGTGACGAAGCAGAAACTGGAACAAGGCTGGGAAACTCCTGGGCTGGCTCCAGGCCAGCCTTTGTGGCTGTTGGTCCTGCAGTGTCTCCTCCATGTCCATCCAGCACCATTCGCGCTCCCGCCGGCCCCCCGGTGCTTCACTGCTTTTCGATATCACCTAACACTCAGGTTGCACCCAGCACCCAACAGAGGAGGAACGAAGGGTTGCTTGTTTCTTCTCTGCTTTTTCTTGTCTAAAGGGGAGACACACTTTTCTGGAGCTCATCTAGCCCCTCTTTAACTGAGGAACAGGTGAGGTCTTTCCCAGTAGGGTTTTCAGGCGGATGGCTGCACAGAACCCCCCCTCGCACGGCCTTGTGCGCCATAGCAGAAGAGGCGCACGTCTGCGCGGGACTTTCACACATCCAACCTCGCAGCTTCGCCCGCGCTAGGGCAGCCCGTGCTCCTCAAAGCCTTCTCAACCAAAGGTACGTAGCTATGGCAGTGTGTAATTGGCTGCTTGTCCTTCCTTGGCTCATGGCTCAACTTTACCATGCCTCGCACTCACACCACATCCCAGGACGCATCACCTGATACACACATTTTCAGCTTGAGGTCTGAAAAGATGGAAGTGCTCTGCTTCTGGGCCAATAAAATTGAACAAGGGTCCACCCAAATTCATTTATTGGCTGGCATAACATATTAGAAAACCATAAAAACAGCCTACACATTACATCATCTTGTGCTAATCTATAACTTTTTCGTTTACACTGACTGCAGATGGAAGTTTTATTGCTAAAAGATCCTCAAGAACAACTCTTCACTAGATAAAATCCCTTTTGATGACCTTTATGAAGAACTGAATTTTAAGGATCTCTCACCCAAAATTACATGGTGGGTATAATTAGCACATTAGTCAAGCAGCAGTCTGCTTCAAACTTTCAGCAGATAAATTTCCATTTGGATAAAAATTAAACACTCAAAGGCTTTCTTCCCTTTCTCCTGAAGGGAGCATACTAGAACAGTAAGAAAAAAAAATGCAGAAGCCCCAAAAGTGTCTGATAAAAATAATTAATGAACCTCAATCTAGCCAGGGAATTCAACTGTCCAGAAGCAGATACTGACAGCAAAAGGCACACCAATTTAGATAGTGTGGTGGGACTGGAGAAAACTTAAGTGACCTTAGCTCAAGGTTTTACTTCTTAAAAGCTTTTGCTTCACTATCATATTTCAGGATGATGTTGGCTGCATCGCTTGTATAAATTTGGGTGCATTTGCTGAGCCAGCATGGGTGATGTTTATTTAAGCACATCAATAAAGAAGGAGAAGCTACCAAGGTTGATAAGATACAGCCAGGTTTTAGTCTCTTTCTGACAGCAACAGAAGTCTTGAAACTATGAGTATGAGCAAAGTAGGAGGCACTGTCAATTGAAGGAGTTTCTGAAACTGCAGCAGCACCCTCTGCAAAAACAAAGGACTGACAAGTGCTACCATCTACAAAACCCACAAAAGCAATCAAGAACACATGAATCCTTTATCCTAGCCTGCATTATATGTTGGACATGCATTACCTCTAGGTAACACCCTGGATCACAGAAGCCAAGTTTTCATTTTTAAAATATGATGAGAAA